ACGGCACTGCCCTTTCATTCAGTGTGATCCTGAAGGACAGGTGAAGTCTGGCAGATGTTCAAAAGCTACTCACCTGAAAGACTGAGACTTCTGAACTGTAAATAATCTCATTCCCTCACAGCCGCTGCACACACACTGCTTCCATTCTTCTGGAAATGTCAAGGCCTTACCTGCTAATGATACAAAATTGCACGTTAGGAAATCTTTACTTGTACGTCCTTGATGTGTGTGTGAAAGTACACTTGTTCTGCCCTGTCTGGTTGCTTGGATACCGAGAGGATTGTGTTTTACAAAGATGTGTGTGTGTGTGTTTTATCCTGTTTAAATATCTGTGTTGTGCATCCATGTGATTTTGGAACCAGTGCATCTTGTTCCGTGATTCCGTGAGGGAACGCTGGTGTGTGTCAGAGCAGGAGAGTGTGTGTGTGGAGACGCTGAGCAACAGTTATGGCAGCATACGGACCGTGGGAGTGGTGCAGAGAGGGAGTGAGCACCAGGGCCAGACTGTGTGTGTGTGTGTGTGTGTGTGTGTGTGTGTGTGTGTGTGTGTGTGTGTGTGTGTGTGGTGTGTGTGTGTGTGTGTGTGTGTGTGTGTGTGTGTGTGTGTGTGTGTTTGTGTGTGGGATCGTGACTCGACAACCCCACACACACACAGATCGTCTAATTTGGAAAAGTTACTCACATTTAATAGACAGCAGGTCCAAATCAAGTAAGAGTTTCCATCATCCACCTGCTTTTAAACTAAGGGGGATTCCGTCATTTCTCCTATTTTACTGTATTGATATTTTCCTACTGTTTTTATGTATATAGTTTTTGTTGTTCATGTTTATCTTTTTTTATATATATTTTCAACACAAGTGTAATGCCTGTTTAGATGCTTCCGTGTCAGAGAATTTCCCAATTTAGGATGAATAAAATCGACTTATAATTACTTGCGCTCCTATTGGCTAGCGCTCCAACACATTGTACGTGATTTCTAAACTGTTGACCAATCACAACAGAGCCGGCCAGTTAACCAATCAGAGCAGACTGGGCTCTGGTTTCAGACAGAGGGTGAAAAGAGGTGCTGCAGCACAGGCAGTATGAGAAAAATAAAGAGCTTTTTGAACATTAAAGCATGGAGACATGTCCCAGTGGAGACACTACATACTGATATACACCTGAACATCAGCAGGAGAGGACTCTTTAAAGTAGAGACACTACATACTGATATACACCTGAACATCAGCAGGAGAGGACTCTTTAAAGTAGAGACACTACATACTGATATACACCTGAACATCAGCAGGAGAGGACTCTTTAAAGTAGAGACACTACATACTGATATACACCTGAACATCAGCAGGAGAGGACTCTTTAAAGTAGAGACACTACATACTGATATACACCTGAACATCAGCAGGAGAGGACTCTTTAAAGTAGAGACACTACATACTGATATACACCTGAACATCAGCAGGAGAGGACTCTTTAAAGTAGAGACACTACATACTGATATACACCTGAACATCAGCAGGAGAGGACTCTTTAAAGTAGAGACACTACATACTGATATACACCTGAACATCAGCAGGAGAGGACTCTTTAAAGTAGAGACACTACATACTGATATACTCCTGAACATCAGCAGGAGAGGACTCTTTAAAGTAGAGACACTACATACTGATATACACCTGAACATCAGCAGGAGAGGACTCTTTAAAGTAGAGACACTACATACTGATATACTCCTGAACATCAGCAGGAGAGGACTCTTTAAAGTAGAGACACTACATACTGATATACACCTGAACATCAGCAGGAGAGGACTCTTTAAAGTAGAGGACACTACATACTGATATACACCTGAACATCAGCAGGAGAGGACTCTTTAAAGTAGAGACACTACATACTGATATACACCTGAACATCAGCAGGAGAGGACTCTTTAAAGTAGAGACACTACATACTGATATACACCTGAACATCAGCAGGAGAGGACTCTTTAAAGTAGAGACACTACATACTGATATACACCTGAACATCAGCAGGAGAGGACTCTTTAAAGTAGAGACACTACATACTGATATACTCCTGAACATCAGCAGGAGAGGACTCTTTAAAGTAGAGACACTACATACTGATATACACCTGAACATCAGCAGGAGAGGACTCTTTAAAGTAGAGACACTACATACTGATATACTCCTGAACATCAGCAGGAGAGGACTCTTTAAAGTAGAGACACTACATACTGATATACACCTGAACATCAGCAGGAGAGGACTCTTTAAAGTAGAGACACTACATACTGATATACTCCTGAACATCAGCAGGAGAGGACTCTTTCAAGTAGAGACACTACATACTGATATACACCAGAACATCAGCAGGAGAGGACTCTTTAAAGTAGAGACACTACATACTGATATACACCTGAACATCAGCAGGAGAGGACTCTTTAAAGTAGAGACACTACATACTGATATACAGCTGAACATCAGCAGGAGAGGACTCTTTAAAGTAGAGACACTACATAGTGATATACACCTGAACATCAGCTGGAGAGGACTCTTTAAAGTAGAGACACTAAATACTGATATACACCTGAACATCAGCAGGAGAGGACTCTTTAAAGTAGAGACACTACATACTGATATACACCTGAACATCAGCAGGAGAGGACTCTTTAAAGTAGAGACACTACATACTGATATACACCTGAACATCAGCTGGAGAGGACTCTTTAAAGTAGAGACACTACATACTGATATACACCTGAACATCAGCAGGAGAGGACTCTTTAAAGAAGAGACACTACATACTGATACACACCTGAACATCAGCAGGAGAGGACTCTTTAAAGTAAAGACACTACATACTGATATACACCTGAACATCAGCAGGAGAGGACTCTTTAAAGAAGATGCATCACACACTCAAAGAAATGATATGTTAGATTTACTTAATCTAGTTATGTCAACCGGCTGCACGTAACAAGGCTAAGTAAATAGGAAACAGACTAGTAAACTAATATTTACTTCTTGCATTTAAGTAAATCTTACCAAAGCATCTTAATTAAATGCTACATCATACAGTTATGTTGTATTTGCTTAACACAGTTATGTTGAATTTACTTAAAGTTTGCACTGATTTACCTAACACAGTTAGGTTGTAATTACTTAACACAAATTAGTTCCATTTATGTTGTAGGATTGTGTTATTTGCACTTAACATAATTTAATCCAAATTGCTCTATCAATATAAGTAATTCAAATGACTCCAACTCAGTAATTTGTATTCCGCTCACTTTATTTTAAATGTTCATTTTACACTTATAACATTGCATTTTGCAAACAACCATCTGAATTGCCACAACAATTCAACAACAAAAAAACACTTAACTCCAACAGCCCATTTGTGGTAGGTGCACATATTAGAATTTTAAAGCTCTTTGCGTAAAAAACCCATGACAGCTGCTGAACTTGACAGTGATGAGAAACACGAGTGACTCAAGAAGTTAACATGTGGGCTGAAAAGCTACAATAATGACTTATTATCTGAACATTTTATAAAATGCAACTTTACTATGAAGTATGGTGTTTTTATGTCTTTCCAAACACTTAGATGAAACGCATCACATAATATTGCTCAAGCACATAATGTGTTACAGTAGATCTTTGCCTCTGTTATACACATGAACATATGTCTTGAACTTTCAAAAGCAGAAATACAATTGTGAGTGTCTGTGTGTGTGGTGTGTCTCTCTGTGTGTGGTGTGTGTCTGTGTGTGTCTCTGTGTTTGTGGTGTCTCTCTGTGTGTGTGTGTGTGTGGTGTGGTGTGGTGTGTGTGTGTGTGTGAGAGAATGTACCGAGATGGAAATGAACTGGACGTTATCTCTGTCACAGTATTTTGTCCTTGGGATTACTCTTGTAATCTGTTTTTCAGAACCTGCACCTTGGTTGACAGTCTGTTGCCATCCAACCCCATCAATACTTTTTGAATGAATTCAAATGTATGTTTCAGGTCCTTGGGGTAGCTCAGATTGAGGCTGTAAATCAGTCCAAGCAATACTGCCCATCCATTTGCCAAGTATTTCAGCTCTCGCAGCACTCCAACACCCTCGATGATGGTCCATCATCCAACATCCGCAAGTGGTTCCCCGGGTTCTGCTCCTTCGTGTTTCACGAGATAGAGTCCCAATACCATTGGCTCCATTTGGGTTGTTGCAAGTTCAACATCCTAAAGTGGGATTAGAACATAGTATTCATGATTATCAGTATGAGAACCCTGACACACATCATTTTATAATATGAAACAAATGAGCAAATCCTTTTATTGGATCCATTGTAAATAAATACATGTAGTTGTAAATGTACATGAACAATATAACCAAAGTAGCAGCAAATACTTTGAATAAAAAACAAATTCAATTATTTTTATTTAAAGAGGACATATTATGCAAATGTTCAGGTTCAAATTAGTATGGAGTGTCTCTACTTTAAAGAGTCCTCTCCTGCTGATGTTCAGGTGTATATCAGTATGTCGTGTCTCTACTTTAAAGAGTCCTCTCCTGCTGATGTTCAGGTGTATATCAGTATGTAGTGTCTCTACTTTAAAGAGTCCTCTCCTGCTGATGTTCAGGTGTATATCAGTATGTAGTGTCTCTACTTTAAAGAGTCCTCTCCTGCTGATGTTCAGGTGTATATCAGTATGTAGTGTCTCTACTTTAAAGAGTCCTCTCCTGCTGATGTTCAGGTGTATATCAGTATGTAGTGTCTCTACTTTAAAGAGTCCTCTCCTGCTGATGTTCAGGTGTATATCAGTATGTAGTGTCTCTACTTTAAAGAGCCCTCTCCTGCTGATGTTCAGGTGTATATCAGTATGTAGTGTCTCCACTTTAAAGAGTCCTCTCCTGCTGATGTTCAGGTGTATATATATATATATATATATATATCTGTGTTTGGCTATGTTTCAACTTACCAAATATTCCTTTATGAAGCTCTCGGAACTTTCATTGAAGTAGACGCAGAGCGCTTTAAGGACACAGTCCCGTCGTGTTTCAACTGTGGGATCCTGAGGGACAAACACATTTTCAAAATCTTCACACAAGAATACTGATTATGCTTGTGTGCTGATTTTTGGCAAGTCAAAGAAAGGGGGTCAGAGAGGTTAAAATATATTTATATGAGAGGGACAACAAGAGAGAGAGATAAAGAGAATATGGTGTTGCAGTGCCCAAACTACACAATTTATTACAACTACATACCTTGTCCATGGCTGCCATGATCAGGCCCAAATTGCGTCCTGCTGTTCCCCCCTTCTTTTTGAAAACCTTCATCAACTGAGACGAATGGCGATCCAGTTGAGACATGAAGGTAGGCAGCAGCGGAACGGTGGTGATGCGGGTGAATTCTGCGTTTACCTGCAACACATTGTGATACAGGTTCAAATGTTTTGTTTAAAGCTAATAATATCCATCAAGTGTCATAGCAGAAAGGACAGGACATCTACTGGTGTAAACCAAACAAAGAATTTCAGCTGAGGTTCTTTTCTTATACATGTGCATCTATTAAAATAGCTCTGCACTTAATACAGGTAAAGATTCAACATGACATCTACTTAAATGTGTTTTAAGAGCATTCCATGTTTTGAAAGAGCATGGGCATTCATAGTATGTGCATGGATATGGGTGTCTCTGACCAAAATGGCCGTGTTTTAATTTATAGTGCTTCAGTAATTGGTACCTTGTAGATTGAGTCTCAGTACACTGTTTGCATCTCCACATTCAAAACCTAGAGAAAAAGAGAAATGTGTTAATGATCCAAATGTATTGTAAATAACAACTATTATTGCAGCCATTAACATAATTCAGGGTGTGAGGTGCAGGATATAGCAACCCATTACTGGATCTTAAGCAGTGGTGGAAAAAGTACTCAGATCCTGTACTAAAGTAAAAGTATAAATACTCCATTACTTGCTATAGTCCCAAGTTCAAAATAATACTTAAGGTAAAGTTCCAAAGTGTTATTAGCCAAATATAATAAAGTATCAAAAGAAAAAGTACTTTGTGCAGAAAGCCTTTTGTAAAAGGGTTGCATCATAGAATAAAAATGAATGTTCTTATAATAAAAAATCTACATATATACAAGATTTTTTTAATGTTGTGATTTGTTAATATAGAGCATATTTTGGAAAGAACCGAGTAAATTAGTAGTACATGTATATGAATATAAACATTATCTAAAAAGGTAACTACAAGTGTCAAATAAATGTAGTGTTGTAAAAGTACAATATTTCCCACTGAAATGTAATTGAGTAGAATTACAGAGTAGCAGAACATGGAAATACTTTTCCACGATAAATAACTGTTTAAACACAAGCAGTTGCCACGGCAGGTAAGTGGCAACTGCCACACACATTCGCTTGGCTCGGCACCCAGAGTAACACCCCTTCAGCAGCCGCAGTTGTCTCAGCAAATAGTGGCATCTGCGGCTGAAGTACCTGCCACTATTTAATCTTGCTCTCTCTCTCTGATTATTATAAAGAAACACGTTTTCGGGTGAATTACGTGTCTATTTAAGAGCTGTCTTAATGGAAGATGTGCTTGTTGAGTGTGTTCCTGTACATGCTTTAAATAATTCACACTTTGATATTCCTGGCCGACATAATTAACGTAACGACCAGGCACGGCTCCGGCTGACGCAACAGTACAGTGCACAGATGGGATTTTTATTTCTTCCAAATAAGCTTTACAATTGAACAAAAAAACCTCCCTCAGGGCGTTACACTTGATGAAGTTATTTTTAATAGACTTAGAAGACCTTAACTGACTATGACCTTTTTGGCACTGGAGATGTTTGCAACCAGGCTCTCAAATCTTTAAATCAAGCACATTTAAAAAAAAAAATTTAAAAAAAAGGAGGGAAAAAACGTGTCCACTTACTTTTGGTAAGAGCTAACATTACTATTATAACCACATCAAGCTAAAATCATTAAATACATAACGATTGACTTATACAGACAAAGCTTGAAATGTCACCTCTTTTGTGACATATTCTAACACTTTTAAGTGCAAGGGAACATAATTAAAAAGTGACCGTTAAGCTAGCTGTTAGCTAGCTGTTAGCTAGGCTGCACCGCTTTTCAAATCTATCATCAAAGTATACAGTTGGTAGCAGGGAAATCAAAAATACACATCAACTTTTGTATTTCAGGGACCGTTTGTGTTTAATATATGTTAATATTTAAGAAACTTACCATAACATCGCAGGATGGCACAGGAAAGGGAAAAAATGCGGTTCTGTCATCTCACAGTCACAGGATTCAAATGACACATGTCCCCAGTCTTACAGCGCATGTGCTGAGAAAGTACGGCAAGCACTTTGGGACAATCAGTGCGTTTTAAATAACTTTACCATTTAAATACAACACAACATGGTAATGTAATCCCAAAACTTTGAACTTTTACATAAATGCAATTAAAGTCTCTTGATTTAATTGTAAAAAGTGCATTTACTTAGTAGTTTCAATATAAAAAAAGCAATTAATGCAAACAACATCCATATTTCATTTCTAAGAGTGCATACATCGAGTCTTATCTTCATTCTATTTCTCTGTTGTTGACGTCAATCTTTAAAATATCTTTAAAAAGGAGAGAATATCGGATACTGGAACTAAAATATAGTGCTTTAATTTTACCTTCTGTTTTTTTACAATTGCCTTCAAGACCTTTTGTTTTTTTTGTGCAATTTAACTATTCTGCACCATTATATCCATGGAGCACAGTTACCCTGCAGTTATTATGCAGATGAATAAAGGCCTAGTAATTAGTCACACTGGCACATTTTCCTTTTTCAGACTCCCTTATTTAATTCCTCTCTCCGTCGTCACCGTGCCGTTGTTCCTTCATTTCCTCTTCTATACATGACTTCCCCTCTCAGCTCATTTTTCAATTTTGCCATTACACCTTTCTCTGTTCCCATTCGACCCCCCACCTCCACCCCGTTACCCCACGGACTCTGTCTTCCTGCCACGGAGGCTTCAGATCTCATTAGTGCCCCGACTCAGACGTGTCACATTCTCACCCTTCTGTCACGGCGGAGGAGGTGACGCATGACTTCCAGACCTGCAGCGAGGAACCGTTCAGTCATTACTGTAACAGGACGAAGCAATAAGGACTGTAATGTCATCTTAACCTCTTGAATTACAACTTAAGCTCTTATATGAAAGCCTGTACCATTTAATTGATCATGTTCTGATGAATAAATGTCCTTTTTTTTTTATCTAATCATGACAAATTGCTCAAGGTTAAAAACTAATAACACCTTCGTTTTTTCAGCCTGATGGATGGATTTAATTTGCTTTAATTGTATTCATTTTAATCTAATTTCCATCCCCCGCATGAAATTAATTTCCTGTTTGTGGGTCTCATACAGTCTATGGTCTCATCTAATAAAACAAGATGTTTGAGTAAACCCTCCGGTCGCCAAAACACACACACACACACACACACACACACACACACACACACACACACACACACACACACACACACACACACACACACACACACACACACACACACACACACACACACACACACACACACACACACACACACACACACACACCTTGTTTGTACCCCTCTCGCTTGAGGATAAAGAGATAATGCAACAGGAATTAGTTATTGCAACCGCCAGAGGAGGGTGCTGTTTACCTCAGAGGTCACACAGTTTCACATACACACACACACACACACACACACACATGCATACACACTGCCTTTAAAGAGTGGGGCCCTGAGCTGTCACATAACTGTTAATATTTGAGGGGAAATGTCAGTCAGAGTTCAGTTTTCAAACCTCTTTCTCGTGGCGATGAATAAAGTAAAAGGAGTCTATTTCTATCTCTGTGTCAAGTCTCTTCCACTCTCTGTCAGCATGCACTCTCACAGGTCTTTGAAATATGTAAAACCCTGCTGCTGTCTGCCACTCCGGCCTGCTGTTTGTCAAAAATGTTTCATACAGAGTTGTGTAACCTGAAGCCTTTCAGGCAGCTGAGATAGGAGAAATCATTTCTGTAGGAATAAAGACAGCACAAAGTAAGCCATCATTATATATCATTTGATATTGTACAATATACTGCACTATTAAATCATTTGGTGCAGTTTTGTTGAATAGATCTTAATCATGTTTCCATTGCTTTGTCAAATCACCTTATTCAACACTGTGCGACACTGCCATTTGTTTATATCCACTATCTTTTTCTTCTTTTCACGTAATGTTTTTCTATAAGGAAATGCTATAAATAGATACAGCTGATTTTTTAGGAAAACTTCTAGAAGCTGTAATAATATTTGCGGAGGTTGAAGTTTGCATTTTGGGTTCATAGCTTTAGTTTGTATTATATATGTATGACGCACTAGTCGTTTCAGGTATACGGGCTAGTTTTGCTTTGACGCTATTATGATCATAGGGCGGCTGTGGCTAAGTGGATAGAGTGCTGGACTTGGAATCAGGGGGTAGCAAGTTCGAGTCCCACTGCGGTCAGCATGTCGTTGTGTCCCTGGGCAAGACACTTCACCCCAAATTGCTCCTGTGGGGATTGTCCACAGTACTGAATGTATGCAAGTCACTTTGGATAAAAGGTTTAGCTTTCAAATTCTTCAATTTTAAAGGCTGTGAGTCGATGAGATAAAATCTAAATAGTCTTTGCAAAGATGAGGCATAGAGTACAACAACAAAAAACTACTGCTACCATAATTGCATCATGGGAAATGTAGTACGATTCTCAGTTTTTGAACTTTGTAAAGTCACTTAAGGTCACATCAATGCACAAATGATTAACTTTGTAATCCAACACTTTGACAGACACAAACGAGGAGATAAATATGTGTATATATACCTCACACAATCCTAATACTCTAATAAAGACCCCCAACCAATGCCCAGATCCCACCACTCCCTCACTGGCATTTAAATAAGCCAACACCCTTTCCGACCCACCATGCGGGCCGATCATATTACACCCCGTTATTAATAGCCCCCCACTCCCCTTCCTCATTGTAAACTAATAGCTGACATGATCTCACACTGTCTGCGTCTCCGTGCTCACATCAATCTTTCTCTCCCACCCCGGGTTTCTAGCTCTCTTTTCTCCGCTCAGATCAGGTCTACCAAAATATGCTCCACATGCACAACCTGACGTGTGCAGAATCATGACATACATGACATGTGTCTCATCTGTTTCACATGACACGGGGTATGACGTCTTTCTTCAATCTAACACAGAATTAATGTTGACTGTCTGAATTAATGAGGCCAGAAATGAGTGTATCTGAAATATAATAATGTAGTGACAGCATTGTGCCTCTGGTTTATTATTGGCAGGCCAACAGCCGGGTACAGCCCACTCGACATTAATTTATTTTCCAAAAAATTATTGCAATTGTACCAAAATGTGATAACTTAATTATTGTTATAGGCCTGACTTTCTTTTAACTACATTACTACATCATATTTATTTTTGATGAGGGATACAAGGTGCATTTTACAAGCATTTAAGGGCAATCTTATTGTAACTATTGGATTTATTTATAATTATGTCTTACAGAGTCAAAATAGAATCATGGTACATTAAAGTAGACAGATGTTTATAAAAACACAAAAGAATTATAAAAAATAATGTTAGACGTGCTATGTTTTGGGCGGGTCCTGATTTGTTGTCGTCTGTCTTTGGTTTGTTTACAACCAAACCTTATTAAAGTAAATTCAATAACAGTGTTTAAAACCAAGTTGATTAAATACTATCAGGGTTTTAGCTTAGCTTAGCTCTAGCCATGTATATATTTTGGCTTCAGAAGACCTTGCTAAAACTGATAAACAACGCTTAACATAATAAAACAAATGGAAAATAAGCTGTTAAAGCTATTCAATTTCACTGGGCCACAAGACACACATCCTGCCTGTATTTTCTTTAGCTGCACAAACAAGTGTTTTCATGACTGTCTCCATGTCTCTCCGTCCATCTGTGCCCACAGAGCACATCTACCCTCTGACCCTCTGCCTGGACGCCATCTTGTCCCCAGCGCTCTCGCCGAGGCCTTATTTTTAGCGAGAGCCATGCTCCTAATGCAAATCTTAATATGGGAATGGCATCT